GCTTCTATGATGTGATATCACGGATGACAAACTTAAAGAAGCAGGAATTGGATATGTCTACTTCCTTGGGTCAAGTACAGACAGTCATGGAGGAATTTGAGAAGTTGATGCCAGTTTCGGCTAGTGTGAAAAAATAACAAGAGCAACGACAGAAGATGTTTCTCGTTCTTACCCTCGCTGGACTTCCTAATGATCTTGATTCAGTACGCGACCAGATTTTGGCTAGTCCGTCTGTCCCGACAGTTGATGAATTATTCTCTCGATTACTCCGCCTTGCTGCAGCACCAAGTCCACCAGTGAGCTCATCACAGATACTTGATTCCTCTGTTCTTGCATCCCAGACAATGGATGTTCGAGTGCAGAATTTGGATCACACTGACAACAAATATGACAAAATTAACAACCTTGGTCTCAGTGGCACGATAACTATTTCGGCGAACTTTAGACTTCATTTTGGATTTTATCAGAATCCCTGCCAAAAGGAACATTTCAGAAAATCCGGGACTCCGGGTAACCCCAACCAAGGTTTTGTTTGAGGAAATTCAAAAATAATCATATAGACCTCATTATTAGTTCCCTCACTTCCCCATGACGATCACCCTTTGTCATCCAGTGCTTCACCATTTTCTTATTTTCGGTCAAATCATCTGACAAACTACGTGTGTCATACAAACAGAAAGAACTTGAACCTCTTGGTAGTATCGTGTACTCTTGGAGAAAATATGTCTCATTTCCAACCGAAGAATCTGGTAACCCACAGATTCAAGTACGATGAAGCTGTTATGAAATGTTAATTATCTGACAACTAATACTTAAAGAAACAAACAACCTAATTATATTAGTCTAGGACAAACAAAGAAGACATGATAATCGCATTCTTCCTTATCAACTTTTATCAGAGTTTCACTTCTTACATGAGAAAAGGAGAAAGAGAACATACACGATACTAGAGCCATTTCTGGTGTAAAAGTATCATCCTCAAACACCATCAAGACCTTGTTAACAAGACTGCTTTTTCCAGATCCTCTCGGACCAATCAACAGGAGTGTCATCTTTTTGGTATATTGTAATCGCTCATTTTCGTGCCACCTACCTCCTCAATCCGTGATCCGGGGGAGTACCTTCAAGTGTTCATTTATTATGTGTATCTCAACAGATGCATATTACTTATAAGAAACCCAAGACAAACATTCATTAAATAAATAAGTTAAACCATTTGAGGAGCATTATTAAATTAGTATATATATAGTTACTTGTTCCTCCAGAGAAAAAGAACCAAAATAGAAAATAAATGCATACAAATCAAGGTACCTCAAGATTTTATTTTTGGCTTCCTTCAAATGGTCCTTATGAAACTGCAGTTCATCATAGTTATTGAGAACTTCCATATATACATTCCTTAAACGCTTTTTATTAACCTCATGCATAGAATTTGAAGAAGCTCAAATGAATTCCTTCAAATCCATAGAAACCTACTCCAACTTCTTCATTCTCTACTTCCGATCCAAAATAATTACCACCACTTCACACATTCCAATTTCCAACCACTAGTATTACATACATGTACACACATACACACACAGAGAGAGCATGTAGAGAGTCCATCTTTACAGGAAAAGCAAGAACAGTAAATACCTGAGAAAAGTTGGGAGCCTAGTGGATTTTCAGGGAAGTTTTGTTCAAGAGATGATTCTTCTCAAGTACTAAAAATTCAATCTTTTGCAGTTTTTCCAGTACAAAGAGTCTAGATCTTCAAAAAAAAATAAATTATGGAAGACACGAGAATCAATCAATCCACTATGTCTTAGTTCCAAATCAATTCCGTTGAGTTACTCCCTCTGTTCCATTGTACAGGACACTCTCCTCTTTCTAGTCTGTTCAAGAAAGAACAACATTTCTTTACCTTTGGAAGCTCATTAGCTTTAAACTTCCAAGTTTAAGTAAAATGGCATGTTGTTGTAACCACAAAAATGCCATGGCATGTTAGAAAATCAGAACTTCAAGTTCAAAAGGTACTTTTGGTATATGACAATAGTCTTTCTTTTCTTCTTAAACTCCATGCTCAATCAAACACCTTCATATAAAATAAAACAAAACCACCATATAAAATTAAATTAAAGACTATATGGGTAGAACTATTTTTTAACTAACTGTCAACCTACTGCAACACTTCATTCTGTACATAGGCAAAATTATGCAAGAAATGTGAATACAGAGCTATAAAGAAAAATTCATAAAATGTACCCATAGCTGCAAACTCTCTTTTTTTGGGCCAGAAAGAAGCAAACATTATATTAACATAAAGTAGTAGATATACAAGGAGCAGTAAACTGCAAAAGGGAAAGAACCATAGTTGGGTCATTACAAAAGGGAATGTTACACAATAATAATGATTAAGGTAAAATACCCAATTCACCCGATTGCTCTTCATCTTCAGTAATACCTTCCAATACCAAATACTGAAGAGCAATGGAATATTTTGCAGTTTTAGCCCTTGCAAAATTGTTACTGCTACTCCTAATAAGATATGATCCAAAGCCATCCGCTTTAATTGTGTAAATAGAGGAAACCCATCTTTTGTAAATATATAGCAACCTCGAGGAATCACCATGATAATGAGTATCAGAGAGTAGAAGCTGACATGGCAATGGCCCCTTTTGATTAGCATACATAATTGCATTTTTACATAGTGCTAATACTCGAACCATAGCCAAATCTTTTCCTCGAGTATTATTGTATCTCTCTTGGCATTTTCCTTCATTAAAAAAATCAGCAAAATCATCAATAATAACTGAAACTGGAGCAGGATTATTATGTAGTATATGAAAAGCAGCAAAGTATTTCTTAATTCCTTCTTCGTCCTCTATATATTTCATCTGAATACGTTCAAAAATAGCAGAGGATGGATCAATTCCCTTAGCAAGATAAGGGGGTTTTGTTTCCAACTTACGACGGTTGCAAATGAAGACCACATTACCCTCCCCACTCTCTTTTGCAGAGTTAATAGCAAACTGGAAAAGTAAAGAGGTTTTTCCTGATGAAGGAGGTCCAGAAAGGAGGAGAACTGGGTCGCTACTGCGAAGAATATCCAATCGCCCAACCGGTAAGAATTTCTCCACCATTTTTGTTGGAACTCAAGTGAATAGTACTACTTTATGGGTTTTAATTAAAAAAAGATAAAATAAAAATAAAAGAATAATTTTCAAAAACAATTATTGTTCAGGTGTTATTAAATTCTTATAGCTATAATATACATAACTACTAATTATAACAACTATTCAAATGTTTTATTAGTGTGTAAATAAAAACACACTCTGAGGGTGGAGTGTGCTCGTTGTTTTGGATGATTATCATGGGCTTCTGCACGTGTCATCTGATTATGGTTAATTAGAGTTCTATTATGCTTTCTGTAATTAATGAGGTTACGTTTTAGTTAGAAAATAGTGATGACACTTTGATAATGCAGAAGTACATGTTATTGTCGGAAACAGTCTCACTGCTCTTCTCTGTCTTTCCAGGATAGGGGTTAAAGCTGCGTACATCTTACCCTCTCCAGACCCCACTTGTGATAAATTCATGGGTTTGTTGTTGTTGTAGCCTTGCATTAAACTCAATTAATCCAAGTAACACAAAACAAATAATAGAGCACAATAAAATGACATGTGACATTGTAAGATGAGAGGAATTTGTAAATTACTTATAGAGAAAGGGTTGAGATATTAAAAAAAAAAAATCTATGAAATAATGCAAGTTCTCTTTTTCCGTCTATGATGGTCGAATAATTACAGTAGTATCTTTCACTCATCTCTTATAGAGATGTTCCCACAAGGGCACCAACTATACCACGTAAAAGGGGCGTGGGTCACTTCATCTTTAGAAGAAAATCTTCCTGAGAATGAAAGAAGGGCTTATCGACTTATCATAGTCCTCGTGAATAAATATTAATCTATGATGATAATGACATTTACAAATTACAAGTAATTCCTACTAATCTCTTATTTACTCGAGTCGGCCCGTTGAATCAGTAGCTCAAAGGCATTGTCTCTGCTGGAAGGAGGATGACATAGCCAGAAAGGGTCGCTCCAAGAAGTTAGACTGCAAAGATGTCATGCCAAATCCAGTTGATTGTGGAACTCCAATATTTGAGTGTGGAATTGTGCTGCAGAGAAAAGCGAATTTTAATTTCATGCTGTCATACCGATTAACAGTTAAGTTCAATTTACTATACTAAGCACACTAATATAAACATAAGACATCATTCCACAAGCAGCTTCAGTTAATAGTTTGATGCAAAACAAAATAATTATATTTCTGATAACATGAGCCCACTTGCATTCCCAGTTACTGACTTGCAAAGTGCGACACACTTGGGTCTTTTTGGTGTTTGGTTTTCTCGAGGACATGTTTTTGAGGCTACCTGTTTAGCAGGGGGGATGGAGAGTTGGAAGATTAAGTTACGTTCAATCTCTAATAAGAGTGACCACATTATAATGGTTCAGATGTGTAACGAAATTCAGGGTAGAGAAATTTGTTACGGAAACTGGATAGCAGGATGATTCCATTTCTAATCTCCACAGGGAAATATAGTATACTCAACAACCCACCAAAACTTATGTCATTAACAGAAAGAAAATTTGATAAATGGATACTGACCTGAATGATAATGATAATGATGAGTCCACTGGAGTAGATATTTGATGGTGATCAGGAGGAAACAATGACCAGAAAACTGAAAAGGAGCAATCAAAACAAGCCATGACATCTCTAATAATATAGAAGATGAAGATTTCAACTAACTACATAAAATACCCAGAAAGAAGTAGAACCATAATATGCCTGACAAACCTTTCAGCATTCTAGGTTTCAAGAGTCTAACACAAGGCAATTATAGAACCCACCCCAGAACAAAAAGAAAAAAAAGTCCTATAAAATTGCAGAAATGGTTAATACGACAAGATATTACACTAAAAGGAAAAGTATATGAGCTACCTGATTGTTGTGAGTGATCCTGGTAACTAGGGCAGAACAGCATATCCTGCCAATGTTACCAAAACCCTTTTAGAAGAATATAGCCAAATCAGAGGTCTTATGAATAGAAATCTCTGAAAACAGTGACCCAAATCTAAAAAGAAAAGAAAACCTGAGACAACTCACCATTCCTGTACCTTGACTTTTACTTGCCATCTTTGCAGGAAAGAGATCTACATAATGAGGTAAAGGTAAATTGTTTCAGAAAGCTTCCTTAGAAAACGAGAACTTACAACAACAAAACAATAACTTGAAAAATTAAAGCAAGACATATATCAGGCAAGGACGTTTGTCTCATGTTCTTAAAACAAAAGTGATACTATGAATAAATGTTTTTTTGCGTTAAGAGTGTTTCATATGTAAGATCTAAGTGTCAGGCATGCTGTCTTTAGAACTCTGTTTCCCTGGGCATATTCGAGACATGTTTACACTTGGATTACCACCATATCAAGAATATAGATTTCCATTTTGGTGGATACAGCAGCGTAGGTATTGCTTCTACGAAACAAGATAGAGGAAGACATTAGGACAAACATGTCAGTTGTTAGGAGAGCCACAATTTGCATGAACAAAAAGCAATTGCTGCAACAGTTCTTTGATTGTTGCAACAAATTGAACCATAGACAATTCTGTATTGCAATCTAAAGTGGGTTTACATATGTATTACCACATGAAACGAAAATAGGAAGCATGATGCATGGTGAAATAATAAAAAACTTAAAAATTCATACCCAGGCAAGAGGGACTCGGGTTCACAGCCAAAGTCAAACCAAGATAGCAGTCATCCTTTTCTGTCCCAAAATCCCACAGGTTCAACTCAAGATTAGGCTCAGGTCCTGCACAACAGGCTAGCTTCATGACTAAAAGGGAATAACGACACATGCTAAAAGTACTTTACGAGTTCTTACCAACATTACTCAAATCCATCTGCAACGGATCCCCTAGAGGACGAGGAATCCACATATCAACCTATTCATTAGCAAGTGGCCAATTATTCAAATATCTACGGAAGGATGCCAATTACAATTATAAGTTGAAGCAAAAAACAAATGACAGAAAATAGTTTACATGAAAAAATGGGTGCTGCAAGCATTGGTCAGCAGTTGGTCTCCTCAATGGGTCCCACGAACAGAGTTGCTATGGCAGGAAGGGAGGGATTGATCAGCTAAAAACCATTTCCTATTTCGTGCATAAAAAATGCCAACAATGTAAAGAAGCAGCTATAACAATACCTTGATCAAATCGATAGCTTCCAAGCTAGCACTTGGAATGACATCAGACATATTGGCTGGTTTAATCTATCAGAAACAAAAGAAAATAATAAAAGAACTGAATACATGATCATTCACATGTCTGTGATAAAGGTCAAAGGAAATTGGCAGGAAACTAACAAGAAGTTCATGCTGGACTTACATCAAGACAACTAAAATCAAATAACCGTGAAGCACTTCTCAGTTCTGGGAAGCTAGTCCAGTCTGGCGGTCCAAGAATACAGCATATCTTATACAACTGATCAATTTCACTGAACAAAGAAAAAGGAAGATTATTCTCAAAGAAATAGTTCTCCAAATAATTCAACTTAAGACCAATACGAGTCAAGATTCAATTTTCCACAGAATCCGGACAATATGCTCCCCAAGCTCTTGGAAATAACTATATCATCCAACTGTCAGTTTCATTTGAGGTCAAAGCAGTCTAGGTTCCAAGCTAGAAGAAGATAGTAGATCTTTTTCATGTAAGACAATCTGGGCTATGAAATCACCTTTCACCAGGGAAAATTGGGCAAAGAGTGAAAAGTTCAGCAAGTACCGCACCAACTGCCCACATATCTGTATTCATTCATAAATATGTTAAAGCAGCTGATAGTAAAGAAAAAGAGAATATAAGCAAGATTATGAAATATAAAAATACTATTCAAAATAAACAACTATGTATAACAATAGTTGGCTGTTTCTGCTCTCATTTGTAGACCTTATTCTCTTGACTCATGAGTCAAGAAACAGATTACTTGACCAACAAAAACAAACATGAAAGTTTATCCAAGAGTTCTTTGACGCATTGAACAATTTCAAAATTAAGGCCATCAAGCTTAAGACGGAGAACTTCTAAACAACACCAGTTCAAAGAGATATACTTTTTTGGATAGACCATAGAAGAACCTATTAAAGATCCAAAATAAAGCAATCTCACAAATGCAGTTGGAAAAAAAAAAATTGACAAACCCAAGCATGTGAAGTAGACTAATACCGAATAAACATATGATAATTTTACGAATGAAAAAACAACCAAGTTATATTGGTCAACAATTTTCTAGTAACCCAAAGTTTGTTTTGTACATACATCTATCATGCTAGACAAATATGGAAAACACCTAAGGAAATACGAAGTTTCTAGCAGGAGAACAGCGGTAATGGTCTTCTCTCTAGTTTTACTATTGAATCAAGCCAGCAGTTTTGAAGTCAATACTTTGAGGCATGTGTTAGCATGGTGAACTTGGTCCAAGGCAATTCCTGTCACTCTCCTGTTTTCTTTCACACGACTTTCATAGAATCCATTCAAGGTTATAGTACCTTCAAAGAGCCAAGGCTTACCCTCAAAATTAACAGAAAACATTTCAAGAAAGTTATATTGTTTTTCCAGCGTAAAATATCAACAAACACGAAACATACTGCTCAGCTATGTACTTAGATTAATAAGTTTATTAGGACAAGTAGAAAACTAGCTGCCACAGTCGTCGAGATTCAAGAACAAATATTCAGGATTAGGTAATTCTTATCAAATCCTAGCTTCTAAACATACAGCAACTTATTGGTGTCAAATGAAAAATGATCCATTGTGTCCAAACAAGAAGCTTCTGAAATTGCAAGAACGTATTGACAGCGCATACCGATAGCAGGTGTGTATGATGAAGATTGCAACAAAACTTCTGGAGCTCGATACCTTTTAAAGACATTAGAACATCCTTCCATCAGAGGCAAATTATTCACTAGCACGTGGAGATAAATGATGCACCAAACAAGAGAAGACAACTCACCAACGAGTTGAAACATAATCAGTGAAAGGAGGTAATGAAGACACTTCTCTAGCCAACCCAAAGTCAGCAATTTTAATTATGTCATTTGTCACCAGCAAATTCTCTGAGGCAGAACATGGGTAACTTTAGTTTGCACTGCCATAAACAAAGATAGTAAATAAACCACATGACATTTCAATACCAGGTTTCAGGTCCCGATGAAAGTAACCATTTTTATGCATGTGGGCAAGTCCTTGCAACACCTGAGACATCAATCCTCGAATCTCTTCCTCAAGAAAAGGTCTTTGTCGTTCTTTCATTAGTTGGTACAAGTTATGTTCCTAGACACATTTAAGGAAATAATTTAGAGGTTCACCTTGACATAGTATATATTCTCAAACTAAAAGCAGTAATTGCCAGAGTGGCACAAACATACACTATGTTAACTGAATTAAAGATTCTACTGCACAGACAACGAGAAAGGTGCAACATCAAAGAGATCTAGCCAAAAGTCTTAAACTGGTACCATGTACTCGAGTATGAAGAATAGCTCATTGTTCTCCCTGACAATCTCCTTCAGTTTGATGATGTTAGGATGATTCAATTTACGGAGGGACTGCACAGAGAAGATTGGAAAACTTAGCTTGCGCCAAGTTATATATGTACAAGCAACTCAATTCTAACACGGTAATTTTTTCTGAATCAATGTGTTGAAATATTTCCTTTCAGACCATCAAATGTGAGACCAATTAAGAGGAAACCCACACACCTTTACTTCACGTAGATTAACACATTCTTCCCAAAAGTAGAACTTCCTCTTCATTTTCTTTACTGCAACCTGCAACACATGAAATAAATCTATAAGTACAATTTCAGCGAAGAATCAACATCCTGTGAGATGTCCAAGCACTGAGAAAAAAGTAACAAGTCTTCCAGTCAATTCCCTTCAAAGGAAACAAAGAAGAAAGTGAAAAGGTCAAATTTTATTATTCTTCATTTCTTGTAATAGCATAGGCGTGATTAAACACTAATCTCATGTCTCGCCTCAATGTGGCATGGATCTTTAACATGGTTATCACAAATTATTACGTATGGGACTAAACACAACATGTCCCCAGTCAACTCCCAAAAGGCACTTTTGGTTAGCTAGAGTCTACTTGAGATTTTTGGCAGATATTATTACTGTTGTGTAAGAAAGGCGCCAGTAACTTTCCATTACAAAGGAAACCAAGGAGCAAATCCAAGCATTACCATGTTGAGCTCTGGTAATTAGAACTAAAAGAGTTTATTAATTCAGATGCGCAACTCTTCAAACATGCAGCAGATCAAAATCTTTTCTGCTGCTGCCAAACACAAGCTTCCTACTCAAGTCTTAGATTTTGTAAACAGGATTTTGGAACGTCTCCTTATATCAACTAAATGAAAATAGCTGAAAAACATGTGTGGATATATAAAAGACAATTACTTACAATTTCAGATGTTTCTGTATTAATGGCCTTATATACATTACCGCAAGTTCCATCTCCAAGCTCCTTCAATATTCTATATCTGGAATTATAATGTCCCACCAAGAAGCACATAAGTTAGGATCATCAAAAGGAAAACCACCTTTTAATATCCACATAGGGTCTCAATAAGACTTACCTTTCCATTTTCGATTTACAATGACTGGTGGACCAACAATTTCTCAATGGACCTCTAACCTCCTGATAGAGGTTTCTACTCTGTAAAAATAGTGCTCATGTGGTTGTTGACATATATCACTCTTTATGTGCAGCATACGATACGGTAAATGGTAAAAAATCCACCTCTCATCACTAAAAAAACTGAAAATCAACTGAAAGACCATCAACATGCTTAAACGCAGCCTTCACGAGCTGCAATCAGTAGTTATCATCTAAAAGGCAGTCACTGATTTCTGTCAAATACTTGCTATATTGTGGATAAAATAAGAGTCAGTCATGTCAACAAGATATCAAACCACAGCACGTCTCTTTTCCATGAGCTTCAGTTATGTTTTATCTGTCAAAAAGTTTCAGAAAAAGTCAGAGACAACTGTAGAACATGAATAGCGCGTGCTACCTTCAGTGCTTTAAAGCATTGAAGAATCTGGATTGGAAATATAAATGGAAAAACATTAAAAGCAGAAAGCTCTCTGAGCTATGTGTCAAACAACCAGAGATGGATCCAATCTTTTTGTTTTTATCACTGATCCATCGCACATTCAAAATTATGGGTTCAAAATGTAATATTTATTGAAATTTTGGTGATTTTTTAACACACACATANCCGGCTTTGCAAACAGCCACCGAGAGAGAGGACACAGGATGAGATAAGAAGATACAAAAATAGCTAATAGCATACGCAGGCTGCTATTCTGTGGAAGAGCAATCTCCATTCACTTTCTTATTTTGTCAATACCTATGGCTTTATATTCATGAACTATGTAGCAATTGGCATCACCTTTTTCTTGCTATAATTATAATTTTCTATATGACATCTGCATCTAAATAGGAAACTGATTCAGCTATAATTAAGTAAATTTCTATTTTTCTTTTTTTCATATTTGTTTAGACAAAGAAAAGTGTTTCAACGGAGAAATACAAATCACAGACTATTTAGTATAAGTGCCAATCCAATGACAGAGTAAATTTACTAAATGAATATATAAATACATGAGTACATAAACACGCTTGTTATGATCAATTCAAACAGCAATTTTGACCAAAAAATTTAATTTTTTTCCAGTAACTCTTCTAGTACCAATTCAAATCAATAGCACAAAAAGAAAATTGAATTTGAAGCAACAGGATAATAATGCGATTGAATTTATTCGTGATTTGCTGAGAAAAGCAGCAGAAATTGATTCTCCAGCTACTAGAAAAAAACGTGTAATAAGAACAATATTAGAGTAAATACAGAGAAATTTGAAGGAAAAAAATCGAGCTTACCGGTTAATGCTGGAGAAACAGTCAAACAAAAAACATCTAGAGAGAGAAAAAGGAAGATTTATAGAGAGAAGATGAATGTGCCGAATGCCGATCGATAATGTAACAGCAAAATCATTTGAAGAAGCGTTGGAGAAGAAACCAAATATATTTTTCGAAATATAAAAAGGAATAAAATATTAAAATAGTTTTTTAGATAAACAAGAGGATTTAAAAAGTAGCAAAAGATTAAATGAAATTTATTAATATTGCGAAAGATGCTTGGTGGTGGGAAAAGGGAGTGGTCCTCTTTTAAGTAAGTTTACATAAAAGCCCTTCCGCCAACTTGTTTCTTTCAACTTATCCTTGGTCGGTTACTTTATGACAACTTTGCCCTCTAATAGCTCGTAAATTTACCACCCTTTGCCATTTGGGCTTCTCATGGGATATGTGCTTGTGCTACAAAAGGCTTGAAATAGTGATCCGATCAAATTTAACTTGGGCTGGACTTGAAACAAGAAATTATCCACATGATCTGTTTGGATAACATTTGGTTAACAGTTAATGAAACGAGTATTTAAAGTTGATGTTGAAAAAGAATATTTGCAGTTAAAATTGTCTTTGGATATGAAATTTCACTTTGCAAATAAGTTATAATTCTGTAAATAAAAAATAATATTTCACTTGAAATCAGCTTCTCAACTTCAAATTTTCTACTTTAAGTTGAAGTTGAAATAGTTGAAAACTTGTAACATAAGTATTTACTTTCAAATACTATATTTCATTGTTTGCAATGAAAACTTGTACGAAATGTTTCGAAGGAGCTCGCTTTTACAAAATGGCCATTAAGAAGATAGCTCAACCGAAATCTAGGCCTAACCTAGCCTCCGGCCGTACTACTAAGTTAAGAAGTTAGTTAAGAAGAGTTAACTTAAGTAGCCACCTATTGGTTCTTTTCAACCGCTTAAACTAAAAATAGTAAGAAAAAATATATATATATATATATATATATATATATAATTGTGTATAATCAGCATATATGTATTCCGTTAAGAAAAAGTAAACAGTGAATTCTGTCGGCTATTTGTGTAAAGCTCCCTGTTGTTAATTGTCTTAGGCCCAAGTCCATAGTATGAATGATCCATGTTCTAAATGTAGCCCGGCAATCTGAACATCACAGCAGCTTCAACCAAACACACCCTTGTCGCTTCTCTCCGGTACTGAAAATGCGGGTGTCCGTACGCCGGCCGATAGTCACATCTCTCTTCTCCTCCTCCCTATCTCTCCGCCCCATCTCCAGCTCCTCCGCCGCCGATCACCTTCCAGAAACCCTAACATCTCAATCGCCATCCTCCTCCGATGAACTCACAAACCCTACCCCTCGAACCCGAACCCGAACTCCAATGGAAAAACAGTTCGAATCATGGATTAACAATCTCAAACCCGGGTTTAAACCAGCTGACGTAAACGAAGCCTTGAGAGCTCAATCCGACCCGGACCTCGCCCTCGATATCTTCCGGTGGACCGGCCAACAGCGGAACTACAAGCACAACCACGTCACTTACTTAACCATGATTAACATCGCAGTCTCAAGTAAGCGTTACCGCGTCGGCGAAACACTAGTCGAGGAAGTCCTCGCCGGCGCTTGCCCGCCGAGCCTCCCACTGTACAATTCCATGATTAAATTTTGCTGCGGCCGTAAATTCTTATTTAACCGTGCATTTGATATTTACAAGAAAATGACAAAATGTGAAGAAGCTAAGCCTTCACTAGAGACTTACAATTTGTTACTGAATGCCCTTCTCAGTAAATTTAATAAGTTACATGTCTGTTACGTGTATTTACATTCTGTTCGATCGTTAGCTAAGCAAATGAAGTCCTTTGGGGTGATTCCAGATACATTTGCTTTGAATATGATAATCAAGGCTTACTCTAAGTGTCTTGAGGTTGATGAGGCTATTCGTGTTTATCGCGAAATGGGCTTGTATGGATGTGAGCCCGATGTATTTACCTACGGGTATATAGCTAAAGGGTTGTGCGAGAAGGGAAGAGTGAATCAGGGACTTGAATTTTTCAAGAAAATGAGGGATAAAGGATTTGTTCCGAAAGGAAGTACTTATATGATATTGGTTTGTAGTCTTGCTTTGGAGCGACGGTTTGAGGATGCTATTGAGGTGGTGTTTGATATGTTGGATAATTCGTTGTCGCCTGATCAGCTTACGTATAAAACTGTGTTGGAAGAATTGTGTAGAGAAGGGAGAGGAAATTATGCATTTGAAATTCTTGAAGAATTTAAGAAGAGGGATAGCTTAATGAATGAGAAGACTTACAAGTCTTTGTTGAATGGTTTATATTTTCTTAATCAGGACTAAGTGTATACTTTGATATGTTTATGTTGTCATTGTTGGTAGTTTGATGCTTCTAAGTATATATATTGCTCGTCCGATGAACGAGGAGTTATTTACCAGCAATTAGAATTACAGTGCAACTTGTGCAAGGAGAACCGCGTAACAGTGTATGACAGACTTGGTGTATGTTTCTTAACTTGTATGGGATTCAATAGGTTATGCCGCCAGATATATGAAGCAAGCGCTAAGCAATTGGCAATGTCAGCGGATGAAGAAAGTGAAAAAGAAGACGTGGAGGACCGTTCGTTTGCAAATATTTTGGAATGTTTGACTCGAGATGAACATGAGGTGTTTTGAGGAGAAGGAAGAGAACATCTCACTGCTGAAGAATAGATGCATCCATAGTTTAAAATTTTGGTGTAATGTTGATTTTTATAACGATCTTGACGTAATGCTGGATTTTTCTGAATCCTTAGAGAACTTCTATCTAAGTTTTTGTACCTTATTCATACCAGCTTGATGCCGAGCTTAAATTAATAATAATGCCTTTACTTATCAAAAGAATTAGAGTGCAAATCCAGATTTCTTGGTTTCTGCCCAGAGGCATCTTTTTCCGCCATGGCATATATGAGGTGAAGAAAATGGGAAAATACATAAGTTAAACTTGTCTGGAAAATTGAGTTGCACACTGCAACTTTACATACGATTATTTACCCACCTATTCTTGTTTAAAGTAAAATATATTACACCCCTTACCCTCCTATTCTTGTTTAAAGTGAAATATATAACACCCCAAATGCTGACGTAACGAAAAAGAAAAAGAAATAAAGGCGTGTAAATTCTAAATAAATAAAAAAAGAATGTGTGCCCGTTGATACGTGTATTATCCAATAAATAATAATAAATAAAAAACAAAGATAGCCCCTAGTCCTTTCTTTCCTCTCCTTCTTCCCCATCCTCTCAAGCTCGCCATATCTGCTCCTCAATCCTCACCCATTAAGAGTATGTAACATGTTCCTGTCTTTGTTTCAATTGCATTCAATCTCATCATCTTCTTTTTCTAATTTATTGCTTTCTTCTTTTAGATAAATTGAGGGCAAAGTCGGAGGGCCAAGCGGATGAAGCGACCGCCTTAGGCCCCACTATTACGTAGGGGTGTCAAAACCGACCGAAACCGACCGAACTGTATAACATCGAACTGATTTTTAGATTTTTTTAGTAAAATCGTAGATTTTTGTATAAATCTACAACTATACCGATAATTAGGGTAGATTTTTTATTTATGAAAATAAATCGAAAAAATATCAATCGTACCGAATAAATTTACATATGGAAGATATATTTATATATTAAGTTTAAAAATAATAAAGTGCTAAATTTTTCCTTGGGTCTTGAAATTATGAAAATGGTTACAAGCAAAGGCAACAAGTAACTAAGATCAAAATCCTAATTCCCAAACCTATTATGCTACTCCTACTGAAACTAAATTATTTCTAACATATTCACCAGTAAGACACAAAGTATTCTAACGATTATGAGTAGCAAACTACAATGTATTGAATATGTTTACTTTCATATGATTTAGATTTATCTTTTTGAATATTTAATCTTCTATAGACTTTATTCTTGAGTCCCAATTTGGTTAATATCTTTCTACTTGTGTGATTTATCTTTTTTTTTGTCTTTGCGTAGTTTCTTTTACGCAGCGGTATAGTAGTTGATGGATCTATACTTGTAACGACCCGACTGGTCGTTTTGAGCATCTGCACTTCGCTCGGTAGTAAGGGTGGTATGTGGGCCGGTTAAGACCGGGACCGGCCCAGGACCGCAAGCCCACATGGGCGGTGGGCCTAAACGGTCCTAACCGGA